CATCCTTATTAGGTGGGCCATGACGTGCAACTGCTTTCAGAGGAGTGGTGCCGTGGCGGGGGGCATGTAGTGCGTTAAAATGTGTACGGATGGACCCACAAAAGTGGAGATAATCTAGTTTTTTACCATCCTAAAGTAATTAGTGGTCTATAATTTTAAGATATTTTAAGCGGTCTTAAAAACCGGTTGAAATCCAAACATGATTATTTCCAGTCCTAACGTCATACTTCAAGCCCAGCGTTAAGTTGGTGGTTCAATTTGACTTTTGAGGCAGGTGACCACCGCCTACATCTAAATTTAGGGGTGAAAATGACCAAATCGACTGGGGTCTCCGTGCGTCATATAGTGTTCCCCTTCCCTGGCTCCCTGTTATACTTGGAGGTGGACGAGCAGACTCCCAATTCCTGGGTGAAAAACTAGAAGTATTTGATGCTGGGCCACATCCCAAAATCTCTATATCTCTAGCAAACTTTCAGTGCGTGGCCATCTCTTCTTAAGAGATTCTTGCTGGTCAGATTTTCATAGATTTTCATCGATCATTTGGGCCAATCAGCCAGTACAACCCCTGTGGACTTTGAATGTCGTTGATCCAGCGGTCGGTTTGGTTCACAGCAAACATCCGTTAACATTGGAACATTCACTACCCAAGGATGTCGTATTACGACATGTTCATTGTTTGAGGAAGGCATTTCTTGTTTTGGAAATTTGAGCGCTAATAAGAGCATAAGGTTGTCATAATGGTAGGAATATACTACACATCAAGCTTGGCAAGTCTTGGTGAGTGATTATAAGAGGCAGTTAGGGTTGTCAATCCTTACTGATAAGCATTGGTACCACACCTTATAATTCGCCCCAATTAGCGGCTAACATCTCTTGCGTGCTATTGCCCTGTTTTGGGGATCATTCCTTTAGACTTTCAGACTTTCAGCTTTTTTCAGGACCATGGTACGTGAATTACATGACCATTAGGAGTTAAACCTTCAAGAGGAGCTGGGAAAGAATAAGATACATGTCATTAAAAATGTATAAACATGTGGACCAGCAAAATCTGGACATGACCATGTCTTGGGTGAGGAGTATGGCATGCTCCTAGAGCTGTACCGGGGCCTGCGACAGGACAAGGGGCGAACTAGTCATGGGAATTCATGTGGTAAACCCAATGATAAACCTCCAATTGCGGGGTTAATTGATAGAATTTGTTGATGGTAAAGTTAGAGGCTGGTTCATTATCGGCTTTACGACATTGGGGTTTTGCACAACATTTGATTGGAATTAGACCCCACTAGCCGCTAGCCAGGTATGAGCAGTACGGACAAGTGTGAAGATTGTGAAGTGTTTGACATGATTTCACTAACAGAGACCCAGAACCGGTAGAACACGTGACGTTTGGCTCCGGTGACTTACACTGAATCCACAGGCAGCGATTTTTTGTCGACATGGGGGATCCCCAGCGCACTGCGCACCATGGGATCTTCGCCTCTGCCAGAGAATTACATAACTTTTTTGTGTGGCAAAAAAGATGTAATGGCCTCAAACGACCTCACTATGACTGATGGTTAAAAGGAAGAAGTTTCAGGCAGTTTACTGCACTGCTTTAGCTAGACAGGCCGCATCACACGTATTGAATATGCTTCTGCATCTTGTCTTGGGGTGCTATACCCTCTGTTAATTGAGCAGTTTGCTATGGAAGCCACGGCCCATATACCGATGATTTACCTTTTTCAAAAGAACTAGCTATGCACCATGGCTTCCATAGCTATCATATAGCTATCATATAGCTATCCCAAAGTGCCAGAGCCAGGACCTGAAGCGCACCCTGCGTTTGGTTCCCGACTTTAACACCGACGAGCTCCGAGGCAGAAGGAATCCTCAGGATGTGGCCAGATGCTGGAAATCCTGACGGCTTACCCTCTGGTAAACTAACAAAAAGCTATTGAAAATGGCCCAGTCGAAATAGTGGATTTTCCCATTAAAAGCATGGTGATTTTCCAGTTCGCTATGTTAATTTACCAGAGGGTATAGTTGATGTTCCCACTAGAAGGGGAGTTTTATTGTGTTGTGCTTGATTGCCAGAGGGTAAGTACAACAGACACAAACAGCAAGAAATATGTCATAGCTTTCAACCTAGTTGCAGGTATGATCACCGGTCAACTACCATGGCCCATCTAAGCAGGGTTAGATTCTTCATGGCTTTATCCGCGTTGAAAACCCTAGTTACTATAGATAGAGTGGGTCACTTTAGATACTTCATGATGGCTTTCTCCTAGCTAGTTACCCTTGCTTGGATGTGCATCCATCGTATCCATGCTTCATAATCCATATAATCATCATTAATCTAACCCATATTTCATCCCATACACATTTGGGATCAATAGGGATCTGGTTGGTGGTTTGGAACATTTGGATTATTTTTCCCATCATATTGGGAATAATCATAATAATCCCAACTGACGAGTTGTCCATCATTTTTCAGAGGGGTAGGTCAACCACCAACCAGTCATTACTATTAACCATCATTAACCAAATAATAACCATGGTATTAACCAGTATTAACAGTATATTAACCATCATTAATGATCCCATCATTATGGGGTAGGTCAACCACCAACCAGGGATATTCTATGCCATCCCTGGGCGGGCCCGCTGCCAGGTGCCTTGCAAAATGTGATGATTTTAGACTCGGAGGAGCGGAGCTTGGTGTCAGGAAGCCCAAAACAAAGCCGAGCGGCGAAACGTGGGGAAGTTCACACAGGCGATGGGGAACATCTATAGTAAAACATCCGTGAAAAACCGTGGAGATTTGGGAACACACTCAAGATTTGATTGATTTCGGTTTAGAAATGAGGCATTTATCCAAGAAAACATTGGGATCTACTGGGATTTGGATGGAAAAATGGGTCTGAAAATGCAGGATTCCATCCCAAAGTTCTGACAAACCACTGGATGACATGGTTTGATGCTTTGAATCACCGAAGATGGAGGCTGTGGAAGGCCTTCCGGTTTAGTTGGTTTATGGAAAAAAAAATCCGGAAAAAGACATTGAAGGTCTTTACAAAGATATTGGCAACTATGAAATATAAGATAATCTTTCATGCAGCATCGTCGAGCCACAATGACCAAAGGGTCGAGAAATTGGCAGTCCAAAGTTTTGAGGATCTTCACTTGCGGGTCTACAGGCCATGACAGGTATATTGCTGAATCATGATGGTCAGTACAACGATGCAACCAACAAGGGATATGACGCTAATATGACACCACTTTCATATATTTCATAGAAGGTATGCCCATAAATCCACACGCTGTGCGTGAACTTGGCTATCGTTTGGGGGCCTCCCACAAGCATCCTTATGCATCGGCCTCACGTCACGTTTTACGTCACAATGATCACAATGAGAAGGGATTTCTGTTTGGGGAACCACCGAACATCTAAGACGGCATCATTTCAGCTACAAGGTGAGGCTTGCGACCTGCATCCCTCTGTTGTACCAATATGATGTTATAAGTTATAATGTGGGTACAACAATAATAAACCATAAATAGGTGATATGGTTACCATTCCCTAATGGGCGGTTTATTGTTTTACCCACAGTACTCATGTTTTTTCCTATGAAAAGATCCAAATTGTTTCCGGGGTGAATCGTCTCGTGTTCTTAGGCCGCCCCCGGTGCTTGAGACCGAGTTCATCGGCCTGGGTGAAGGCGAACATCACTGGTGATGTGGGGTGAACTGAATACAAGAATGAGTTTGAAGCATGTGTAAAGAACGTACCATTCCTGGGATGCACATCTAGGTCACCCCTATTTTGCTTCCTGTTACCTTGAGATAGGCTACTAGAGTGAAATTCCATCAGGATTTTTCGGGGTTGGTTTGCTTATTTGAGAGGTGTTGGTAGACGAGGGAACTATATCCCACTGTATTCGTCTTTCGAACGGGGTTACAGCCCTCCAGTAATTATGACCGGGATAGTGAGTAACTAATGAGTGATACGGGGGTCATAAGCAGGGTACTAATGACTTGCTGAGTTCAGACATGCCCCAAGTAATCAATGTTCCATGAGTTGCGGAGTTGTAGAATGGGTTGTAAAAGGTTGAAATAGATTGCTCTTGGCAATACAGATCAAGGACCAAACCAGGTGTTCTGAGGGTGTTGTGTTTGTTTTCTTGAGGGAAGGAAGGGTGATGTTTGAACCGGACAGCCATGGCCATGTCAACCCCCGGCCAACCTTGGTTGAGTAACTAGAAGCTTAACCCCAAAAGTGGCTAAGATAACATAGAATATCAAAGAGTGATTTTACGGCCCCAACCCCTTCAGTGAGGGGTCAACATCCAAAACAAGGTTTATTTGGTTCCAGGTGCATAGAAGTGTTCAAGAGTGGTGCAAACTGGACCTAAAAAAATGACACAGATTGAGTATGCAAAGATTAAGTATGCTTATGCTTATATTATCTTATATTAATTTTAAGGAATTTGGATATGTTTATATAATGATATAGTTTCCTCTTGACAATCAACATGTATAATTTATAATCATTAATATGATATTAATATGTATTATAAATTATAAATAACAACCATTTCTGGGGCGACGAGTCGTCAACGAGGTCGCGAAGTGATGACCTTGATGAAACCCAAAATCCCTCCTACAGCATTCAACCAGCGGTCGCTTGGGGCCAAGGTGCCCCAGTGAGCCAAATCGCTAAGTGATGCGTTTTGAGTGATCCATGGGGCCATGGGGTCGAAAAAACCGACAAGCAAAACTAGGGGGCACCACCTTACCGGACGAAATTTGCTATTATATATATATATATTATATATAATATATATATATAATATATATACCTGGGTAAATTATAACGACCTCACTGCGACCTCACTGGAATCATGGTTAGTAAGAGGAATCATCCCAAAATTGCCTTATTTCAGGTTAGTGAAATATTATAATTTACCCAGAAATATATATGGCTACCATATATACATATATGTCCCAGTATATTCCCGTGGATGCTGCGCCATGCTGCCCCTGCCTTCGTTCAACGGAGCCTGGGGGGATGCCTTTGGCGACTTTTCGACGGAGCCTTGAGCGCTGGCGAAGTGAAGGAGGTGTCGAGCCCGTAGATCATTTTAAGCCTGGAAGACCATGGATTTCCAATGGTTTACATATCTGTATATATATATAGCATACTGTGTATATATATATATGATATATACTGTATATATATAATATATAGTGTATATAATATATACTCTACTATTTATCATAGTGATATATGTATATATTTGATTTCTCCATGTGGGTATCCCAATTTATTGCAATTTTTTGAGACATTTTTGGACGAATGATGACACATCCATGGAAAGATGGAGAAATTATTCATGGATGTGGGTGTGGGTTATACTTGGGGTAGACAATGCATGGCCCGTTTTACTATTTAACTATCTATTCTAGTGGGTCTGCAAATGTGAGCCATTCCCATGCGGGAGTCCCTATTTTCACTGACATTTGGTCCTGGAACCCCCAACCTGGATCCAATTCTTAAGAAACTCATGACCTAAATGCGGGCAAACATGAGCAAAGATGTGCAAAACCTGAGGTTCATGGAAACGTCTTTTGGTAAAGAAAACCATCCATTGCAGCGTACCGTTTTTTTTTCGTTCCGTGGGGCGGGAGATTTTGTTTCTTATCTCAACCCTAAAAGAAATTGTGGTGTGGTTACTTTTTTGTGGGTTGGTAGATTTTATATCTTATTATGCAAATCCTAAAAAAGGAACATACTTGTGGTCCTATGGTTAATTGTTCCGTGGGGGGCGGGAGGTTTTTATGTAAATCCTAAAAGACATCCTAATTGCCGTAAGATTCATTGTTCCACCGGGATTGGATATATAATATGTTCTGTAAATCCTGAAAGACGGGTTTCTTGCCAAAGCGCAATGCAATGCTCATTTCGTCAACACAATAGATTCAATATATTTGTTTTGTTTGAGGTCGTTAGATACTCATTGGTTTTTATGATATGCTGTTCGTGGGCAAACCACGGGGTCTGTGCGTAACTATACTTATATCTACTGGTACCTTTTCTACCCTAGTTAGCCTACTTAAAAGCCAACGGAAACCTATCGTTCAGGGGCCGCCACCGAAGATTTACCACATAAACCAATCCACAAATGTTTCGCCTTGCAAAATGACGCAGGTTTTGTCAGGTGTTGCTGCCTCACCTTACTTTGGAAGAAATCGTAGTGGCGCCTTGGTCCTGTTTCTATGGAAGAAAGGAACTTGGTAATCTTGATATGATAGGATGCACAAAAGTGAGGAGTTACAAATTACAACCCTATATTTATACATATGATATCATATGATCATCATCGTATGATATATACATATATATATGTAGCTGTCTTTGTAACATCCTCATTTCGGGTTGCACCAAATACGATGAACACCCATTCATTGCTGGTTAAATCCTCTAAATTAAACATGGAATCCAACACTCGGGCAATATTCAATAATTAAATCATCTTCGGGACTATGTGTTTCAGGTTCCATGTTAAATTTAGAGGGTGTGAGCAACCCAGACAAGGATTTCATCCGGAGTAACATGATGATATGACTAATTTAAACCAGCATTTTTTTGATTCAATCCAGCAAGCAAGGAATGTGACCCCACCAAGGACCTTTCAAGCATGTCGATTTCATCCAGCACCAAGGTTCACTTCCCCAAGCGCTGGATTTTGCCCAACACACATGTTGCCAAGCCAAGCCCAAGAAGTGGGTTTAATCAGTTTAATCCATCCATGTCCAAGAAATCCATACCGAAGTCTTCCCTGGCTGTTGAACTGGGAAAATCAGGCGACGGAGGGTATCTTGGAGTTGAGTGTCACAGAAGTAACTCAGTCAAGACCTACTGCTTGCAGCTTTTTCATGTATGTATGTATACGTACAGTATATTATAAAAGATTCCTACATCCAGTATTTCCTCAGTCATTTTACTTCAGTCATGAGACCCAGTACACCATTTCTCCCCGCTCCAGTCTCCAGTCATAGAATTCGAAGTTTATCGCTGGAGCTGCCATGGGTCCATGGGTGGAGCTGCGTTTTTTCGCTGAGGCCATGATTTCTATCACGGCACCGAGGGCTTCAGTTTGGTCTTCAGATCTGCTTGGCGCGCACAGGCAGCCCTTCAAAAGCGGGGATATGGGTATGGGTCAAAACCTATTAGTATCAATTTTAATGGGATGAACATCCATTTACCAGCTATTTTGATGTTCACCAGGGGTACAAGGTTTTGACACACTGCCATATAACCACAACATGATGGTTGGTTGCACTGGGTAAACCGTCTGAAGGCTAGTGACCAACAAAAATTGCGTTGTTTGATCTGGAGAAAGGGGGGATCCCTGTAAGAATCAACTACAATTAGGGTAAGGGGTAGTTCAATATAATTTTATAACCTTTTGCCTGAAACGGGCGATATATCATACCCTACTAACACTATAATGCAGGGTGTGTAGGATTAGCAATGAACAGCAACTTATTTTTTTTCAATCTATTGAGATACTTTGCGTGTCTAGGTATTCTGGAAAAACACACATTTGTAAACTAGCTGGACATTTAAGTGCCCATAGAAATGGGTACAATACCAACACATGGGTTAATGCTCTAGATAGGAAAACAGATGACACCCTAGGCCCTAGACATTATGTTAACTTATGAGGTTAAAGATCATTTTAAACATCCCAAAAAAATGTTCTATCCATATGGTGGGTCTAAAGGAAACGCACGCTTGATACAACGACAACCTCCTGCTTACACATTGATTTGGGAGGTACCATGTTTGCTAAATCTTCGGTTTCCGCACCTATGCAATCAACAAGTGTTGATTAATCTGAAGCTAGAATCTTCATTTTTTGTGGCAGCCACATGTTACAATCGTAGTTTCCTGCAATTTGTTTCTTCTCATGGCTTAGGTTTTCCATGGGTTTCCCTTGTGTGTGGTTCTACGGCACGTCGGGGTCAAACAACCGCAACTTGTTGCTGGATACGCCGCTAAATGCAGGTGGAACAGCAGTTTCCCTATTTCCAGCGTCTCTTTTCACAGACTTTGCATCCGGAATGCAACTGTACCTCGGATGGTAAGCTGGGGGAAGCAGGTAAGCAGGCAAAGCTGACGGTGCGCTGACGGTGCTGAGCCTGGAACGGGATTGCCGGAGTGGCTACAGTTTTCCTGGCGTCTGAAGATGGGGATACCCTATAAAAATTCGCCAATTTCAATGGCCCTTGGTCACAAACCAGGGGATTTGGGGGGTCAGTGACCGTCGCCTATAAAATGGTGAGCAATGATGCATGACACACTTGAGTTTCCGACACTACTACCTGTAGGTTATGGTTTGCTTTTCTGGAGTCCGAATGATATTTATGCACTCCCTCTGGACTCCCTCTGAATGATCGATGGGTTCCTTACAGATCATCAGCGCAACTATGCACAACTCCTGTTATTTTATATTGTTCCTGGTTATGTATATATATATGTAGTTGTATGTATATCCTATTCTCAGACCAACCTCACATATCCGTGCCTGGACCGGTGTCCAATGAGATTGTCGTTGTGGCGTTCGCCGGTCTGACCAGGTTTCTACCTTACGGTCCTGTTTGCGCGCCGCGATGGTCAAAGATATCATACCGACGTTGCATGTCAGAATTCGGGGTGCGGTGGAAATCCGAATGTTCATCATATGTAGTTTATATCTGCTTTATATCTGGTTTATATGTGGGTTATATATATATATGTTGTTGACTGGTTACATCATGTCACTCATCCCCGTCATTTGACATGTGTCAAATCCTTGCCAAAGAAACAGCGACAACCAAAGGCTGGGATGACCGTAGGCCTGGTAAGCCATGCTGAATGGTTGGTGAATGGTTGGGTAATTCTTTCTGTAGCCTTTTTGATAGAGGAATATCTTAATCATAGTCTCTGTATTCGTGATGTTAGTCATATGGGTATGGATCAATACCTATTAATACCATTTTTAATGGGATGAACATCCATTTACCAGCTATTTTGATGTTCACTAGGGGTACCAGGTTTTGACACACTGCCATATGTGATCAGTTGGATTATAGGAAATTTATAGGAAAGTCTACAGTAAGACATATCACCCATTTTGATGAATCTGATTGTGTACTTACATCCCACCATCACTTCATTTACCTTAACTTTCAAATCTCTCGGTTGTGGGTGGCATGGAAAATGTTTGCTGGGGAAACCTGTGTTGGTTTTGTTTTGTCTCTTCCTATTTCCGTTGAAATACATTGGGTTGCAAAATGTTGCAAACACGTTTTGGTCACAACTTTGCAAACACATTTCAAATTATTATGTTTTATTAATGTGCTTAAACCGATAACAAACCACCCATTTGGGAATGCTTTACACCACCTATTTATGGTGAGTTTGGGCATGGTTTATTATTGTTTTACCCACATTATACAGTTTGCAACCTTCTCCCGAGTGTCGCCTAGTGTTGCAGTTATTATTTGGGGGTTTCCATCAATGGGGGTACCCCCCATAGCTGGATGGTTTATTTCATGGAAAAAAACCCATTAAAATGGATGATGACTGGGGGTACCCCCATTTTAGGAAACCTCCACTTAGTTCATTTTATGGCACAGTTCCCAATTGCTCGATGAGCTGCTTAGTCATCCCAAAATTTCTCGAGTAGATGACTCCCCATGATCAATGTCTAGCCAGTGACAGGAGGTAAGTAGCTATGGGTATCCAATGGTATCCAATGGTATCCCTAATAAATGGGACGAAGTAGCTACTAATTGTCTCCCCAAATAATCAAGTATGCTCGAATTCCCCATTTTTGATCCAGTTGTGGCCCTTTACCAGTTATGGGTCAGTTATAACACCATTTATTGAATGATAAGTCCATTTAGAACTCGTTAGAATTGGTAAAGGGCTGTAACTATTTCATGGTTGCCATTTACTATTCATTCCTACCAGGCACCTACTACAGTTGACTACATTTTCCTATAGTAAATTCCTCATTTTCATTACTATATCATGGATGCGAAAATCTTCTCCCCGAGACTTGGAGTTTTTCAACTCCAGGACTTCTTTGAGAGCTATGGACCGAACGCGCCCCGTCCCAGCGATCTCGTCTCTGTGGTGTACTGTACGCCTGAGGTGCCCGGTGATTTTCGTGTTTTCAACAGATGGGATTTTCGGGGAAAACCTTGGGATTTGACGCAAAAACAGTGGGATGATCTGGGATTTCGAATTCAAAAACTGCGAAAACTTTGGGATTTCCAAACACATTCGTGTGGCTTAGCCACAACACATGCAGACTTGACCCATGAGGATCTGGTGGTCGATCACCGCTTGAAACCTGAATTGCCACCGAAAAAATTGCCATTGTTTTTTTGGAAGGGGTAAGATCAACATCTTTCGTTGTTTCTTCAACTTCTAGTAAAGGGTTTGCTTGAATGAAGCCCAGTTTTTTTTGGGGGTTGCAAACTACCTCAGCCATATTTATATATACAGATTCCAGCCTTTTGCTTGTCAATGCCCAGTTTTTGTGGGTCAATTCATGGGGTCCGAAAAAGTGAGACTCGAAATGACCGGTGAAGTGGGCCAAATCTGAGGTTGTCGATTTCGAGCCAAAGCCCCAAATAGATAGACAACTTTGAGGTTACCCTCTGGTAAACTAACATAGCTATGGAAAATCACAATTTTTAATGGGAAAACTCACTATAAATTGCCATTTTCAATAGCTATGTTAAATTACCAGAGGGTATCAGGTGAACATCATCATTTCATATCATTTCTCTATTTTACTGTACAGAAAACCCACAGGCGCCACTGAGATGAAGGTATGTCTATTTCTTTAATGGTTACTACCCGACGCACATAAGAAGATCTTGTATAGTTCCATATGAGTTTAATGATTGCCCAAGCTCAGTTGGCTAATTTGAACTAGTTCTCCCCAAGTTCAGCAATTCAAGCTTAGATTTCTACAACATATTTATTTCCTTCATATTCAGCCTCAACCAATCCATTGTTCATTGCCTCAGCCGATTCTAATGGACCAAATCCTGTCCCAAAAAGCTCCAGGCCATTGAGGGTGGCGAGTTGCTGCTTCTGAATGTGGATGCATCTTCCCCTCGCATCCACCGTGGACGTGAACCACCCGAGACGGCACGCAAGCAGAGCGGGGATGTATGGGGATGGCAACGGCAGATTCTGAAGCACTGGCTTGTTTACACTCTGGTAAACGTTTACATAGCAATGGAAAATCACCATTTTTAATGGGAAAATCCACTATAAATGGCCATTTTCAATTGCTATGTTAGTTCACCAGAGGGTAGTTGATTTTAGAATATTTTAGGTGATTTTACTTTGGTCGTTTATTTCATATTATCCCAGCCATCCATTTGAAGTAGCATCATCCAATAGCATCCAACGTTTATGGGTCACCAATCCATGAAGAGCGTTTTCGGGCGCTGGAACGCCTGGCGTTTATGGTGGGTATTTGATCTTGACCGGCTGGGTTTTTGCCTTTTGAATCCTTTTGAGGGATGACAGGACGAGCATTGGCTGTACAGTTTTTGAACCACAATGATTTTTTTTTGGATGGGTAGTAAAAAACCACCAATGGATTAAAGTGTTTCTTGTTGCAATCCCATTGGATTAATATTATATTATCATATCATTTTTATCATAATCCAATATATATATATACAGTATATATATATAGATATTGATTATAATATCATTTTTATCATCAGATGCATACTTTTGAAGCCACCAGCCGCCAAAGACATAGTTCGGCAAGGATTTCTTGGGGGTATTTTTTCAAGGTCTTGGAGGTGATGTGGCCATTGCGGCCATGGGTCAAACTCCGATGTCTGGGATTTATGGATGTTTTGTTTCCCCGCAGATATGGTAACAGATGACATTTCAAGGTATTTCAAAGAGTGCTTGTTGTTTGAACAATCAATTCTACTGATTCTACTGGTGAACTCTTGTTGATTGCAATCACAATTGTCTGGTTGGTTTACCGGAACATGATGATTACTCGTTTACCCAGTTACATCATGTTACATCTATTAAAAAAAAGAACTATAGAGATCCTAGTAACTATCAAGCTCCACAGCTGGACACCATTTTGTTTTGCTGGTTGATTCCCCAATTGATGTGGCTTGAACTCCACATTTTACCGGTTACATCCAGATCTTTGTTCATGAAAACCCTGGCTTTTACTTCTCAATGATGTTATGAATTGTTGTAAATCCCCACATATTGCACTTGTTATGATAGTCATTCTCATTTCCATTCATTTCCCATACCCATAGGATCCATGGTGCTGCTATATATGGTAACATGGATCCCATCAATATACCCCCAATGTTAGCATATATACCAGCACCATGGATCCTATGGGTAATGTAATATTCATCCCCCTAAAAATGGTATTAATAGGTATTGATCCATACCCATATGGGTCACTGATTCACCTATTGTATTGGCAACAAAATCCACCGCGTTGATTTCAGCAGATCCTGGCGCAGCTGGCGCCCAGCTGTGGCCGCCTGGTGCACTTCGACGGCCGGCTGCTGCACGGCGTAGCGCCCTGGAGGCCGGCGCAGAATGGCGATGCGCTCGCGCAACGGGTGAGCGTCGTGCAGCTCGGCGGCAGGTGAAAATCCATGAAAATCACGGGAGATTCGATGTGAGGGGTCTGTATCTGGATATATCTGGAGACGTTTGGTGAAAAAAGCTAGTTTCTGAAAATGTTCAACCATAGTTGTTTGGGATGATGTCACCAGTTTTTTCGGGAACTTTATGAAGGGTAACTGGAATATAGATTAATATAGGCATAGAACCAATCAACAATGGATACATGGGGGATACAATGCTGGGATATTTCATGGGTCTATGTTACCCTCTGGTAATTTAACATAGCTATTGAAAATGCGCATTTATAGTGGATTTTCCCATTAAAGATGGTGATTTTCCATTGCTATGTTAGTTTACCATAGGGTATATATGTTGAGGTTGGTGGTATCACATATTTCTCATCGAACATAGAACTGGGATGACGATCCCGATGATCCTAATCCGATAAGAGATATTCAACTTATTCCACCAGGCTGGATGATGAAACATCATGAAGTATCTAAACCAACAATGACCTCACAACCACCAGGGTGAACCAGCCCAACAATGTGTTTGTGTTTTGATTTTTCCAATCTTGGAGTTATAGTAACTTGTCCAGAAATATGAAGATTTAGTTCAAGCGAAAGCAGCATAATGGAGTCAAAGCAAAAATGGGGGGTTTCACCAGCAAAACCTGCAATTAACGCTATAAATCATCTGGTGGTTTGTTGATGTTGGTGCGATTCAACTGAAGTTGGTGAATTCGTGCTTTTGGTTTGGGCCTTTTCCAGAATTTTTTGACTCAGACCTTAGAAACCGTTGTCGTTGCGGTTGCGGTTGATGTTCCAAGGGGATTCAGGGGACGATGATCCCACTTGAATCATGCCTGGTTTGACACCAGCAAAGTAAATGGGCTTGGACATAGCCCTGGGGAACCAAGACACAGGCAATAAAACACCACTTAAATCTTGCACAATCTCCACAAGAAAGAGATAACAATCAGTAGCTTCATGTTCCGCTTATAATCAAATGCAAAGAACTTTCCCTCTGGTAAACTAACATAGCTGTAGAAATCATCATGTTTAATAGCTAGGGAAGTCATCAATGGGCCGTGGCTTCCGTAGGGACTGATCAACACAATTTGCCCATCTAGCTGGGTAGCTTTTGATGCAAGGCACAGCTTGGAGCTGTTTACGGGGGGATCATCATTGTAAGTGAACCCCAGTTGTTACATTGTGTGTTCCAGAAACACTAGATAATGCTTCACCCCAAGTTGTTTTTTGCTCAATCCTCACATGGATCATGTTTTGAACATCCCAAGGGCACACTAAAAACCTGAGGATTGAGCAAGCGAAGCTCTCGCGGATCATCGAACCTTTGCTACCAGAGTCAACGCTGTGCCAACAGTGGACCATTCGGACATATTCGGACCATTAAAAACCACTCAATTTGACATTGCTTGGCCACATTGTCATGATATGTCATGATCTTGGCTCTTAAAAGAGATCTTATATATGATCTTATGTAGTCATGTAGTTGTATTTGGCAATGGATCAGAATCCTGGTGCTTTTCAGGCCCGCCGGGTGCCGAGCTTCAGCGTCTTTTGTCAGCGGCGTCATCGTGAAATCTCCCTGGCGGTTTGAGGTTGGATCCGTGTTAAGAGTCATGTGGCCATGAGTAACTGAGTAAATTATTGAGCCCTGAAATGGACGGTTTTATTCGTGCCATACATGAATATTACATTACCCATAGGATCCATGGTGCTGGTATATATGCTAACATTGGGGGTATATTGATGGGATCCATGTTACCATATATAGCATACATGGATCCTATGGGTTACATAATTAACATTACAATTTTTGTAGGTCTAGTGTTCCCATTGCTAACAATGTGGGTCGAGTTTTTTGTGCCCCGTGGAACGAGTGAAGACACTGAAATTATGGAAGGGCTGCTGGACTGCTGGATGTCAATGAACTTTGAATCTGTGTAAGCCAGTATAAGCCAGTGTAAGCCTGAAGAATTGAACGATTCATTTGACATTTGACATTATGGAGTATTATGGAGTATTATGGAAGCAATTTTCAAAGATCCAGTACTAAATCATGTATTAAATCATCCTAAATCAGCTTTCTGAAGGCTTTTCATTCAGAACTCATTTTTTTTGCCCCTGCAGATCCGTCACATCGCAGGATCCATCGCAGGGGCTTCGGCCGCGGATCCACTGTGGCTGGCTGGAAAATCCTCGAAGCACATGAAGGTTGTATGGGACAATCATCTGTAAAGTCTGTAAAATGCAGGTTTTTCATGGTTTTTTTCCATTGCCATTGGGTTCAACACATGCAACAACAAACATCAAGTCCATTCAAATAACCAAAGACTACAAACACCATCTCCAATGGGTTGCTAGCCAGAGCGATGGCACTGTGAATGTCTATTCCATCGTGCTGGAAGATGCGGTTTCCTATTAATGTGCCAGCTTTTTGGTTTCATGTTACATATATACATATAATTATACATATATAATTATACAAACATATATATATATATACACATACACAGGAGTACATATGTAGAGATATAATACTATGTATATAATTATATATATACATAATTATATATATATATCACATGTTATATTGCATGATATATATATATATTAAATTATTATCTAGATACATACTGGATACGTTTTTGCCTTTTCATAAATTCTTCGCACCCAAGTCCTTTCACTACATGGAGATATCTCAGTTGTGTCCCGGTTTCATTTGTGTCTCGTTGAACATGGATCCCCATTGTCACCAGGCAAGCAGCGCTCCTGACGACATCTCACGACCGATACCTTGAGAACTTGAGAACTAGACGTCTGGGCACATTTTGGCCATTGTTTGAGCAAAAATTGCCAGTCGTGAGAGATAATGCGATGTGTTCGATTAGGCAGAGCGCAGGGATTTCGTTGCGTGACAATGATATATACTTGGAATGCGATTGCTATTACAAAACATGTGGGATATTAAGAATTTAAGATGGTCTATAAATGGTGAATAGATTGATATAACATAATATAGATAGGTGTATTTGAGTTCCCTGGCGCAGTCAATTGACGTGGTATGACATATTTTACATTTTCTGCCCAAAAATAATCAGGACCGGACCCAAGTTTGATCATGAAGCTCTGCTCAACTGCAACTTCCTGGTGAAATCTGGAAAATCCCTATGATTTGTAGATGATCTTCACTCTCTCTGGTGCCAAACATGGCCTGCACATGGCCTGCTGGAAAAGCCCTATGGATGATCTATGGCGATGGAGTCGCCAGGGATGATGCTGCCAGTGGTCTGGTTCTTGATAGATTAAAACCTATTATATCTACCCTCTGGTAAACTAACATAGCCATGGAACATCACCATTTTTAATGGGTAAATCCACTATAAATGGTCATTTTCAATAGCTATGTTAAATAACCAGAGGGTATCTATCTATGGCCATTGATGGCTGAGAAAATCATCGTTAAGTAACTCCGATGGACTCCTGATTTCCCACTCAATGGCTGGCTGCATCGCAAGGGGATTTCCCACGATTTGCCCTGGCAATGATGCCGTCGCGGAGTCGCCGGGAGAATTGCCAGATTTGCCCGGGAGAAAAGATGGAGTCGCCAGGGATGATGCTGCCGTAGGTGCGGTAAACATAGTCTGAAACATCATCTGACAATGGTCTGGTTCTTGATATCTACCAGAATCTACCACGATTTGGGGATGGATTAAAACCTACTATATCTACCTATCTATCTGTCTGTCTATCTATCTATCTACCTATCTACCTACCTACCTACCTATCTATCTATCTATCTATCAATCAATCTATCTATCTATCTATCTATTCTATGGCTACGGCCTTTTGGGACTAAATGTCGCGGCTAGCTTGATGAATTCAGGAGCATCTATCTATCTATCTATCTATCTATATATATATATGTCTATATGATATTTCATTAAATTTGTTTGGTGGATAACCATCCAATTTGCCAGCTGTGAAATGCTGTGAAAACCAGAGGGTTTTTTTTATGGGTTCAGCGGACTCCAGAGGGCACGACAACACCAGGGGGTTTGGTACCTGAGAGATGGCCATTTTGGATGATTGATGTACCATCTGGTTATTTAACATAGCCATGGAAAATCACCATTTTTAATAGCCATCTATAAATGGGCAATTTTCCATGGCTATGTTAAATAACCAGAGTGTATATTTTGCACATATGGCTTCTGAACATCAATGGATATGGCTATTTTTGGATTAGACATCATCTTCATTTTGATGATGCAAAAAGTGGAGATGGTAGCGGTATTTCACTATGCTGTAACCAGTGTACTACATCCGGGCGCCAGGGCCGGATGTGCCTCCGTATCTGCGCTTCGTTGGGTCCATTTCGACCAAGTGTGGAAGCTCGGTGCCGGGAGCGGAACCGGGACCTGCACAGGGACGCTGTAGCTAACCGTAGTAGGGTCAGTCCAGTTATAGGGTTCGAATCCAACTGTATAGGTTACTATATGTTATTATATGTTATTATAACATATTGAAATTAGACATATTTAGTTCTAATTAGGGTTATTTTCTAGTTGGAATCCATTTCCTAGAGATATCTATAGATACAGGGGGTATTAATCCAATTTCCAGTTTAATTATGAATTGGTTTAATGGTTTCAAACGTTGTTTATGCCAGCCAGATCCCAGCTTGGGGGTCATTATTGGGCATGCCTGTGGTTGGTTGCAGGGAATGGTTTATTTTCTTGGATTTTCCCAGATTTTCCATGGGATACAAAACGAGACAATTTTCTGGGTTGGCATTTTTTACCTACCATGCCTGGTTTTTTCAAAGCCAAAGCAATGGAAAATCCCTGGGAGAAACAGTGGCTATCAGATAGCAATGGATTTTCTCCCTGGTTTTTACAGTCATTGGATTGGTTTAAGGGAAAATTTACAGGAAAGCCCCATATTTAATGGTAAAAACCATGGTTTCCTGTAGATTTTCCCTTAGACCAATCCAA